TCAGAAATTGCCATATGTACATCCATACAGATGTAACTCAGACATACTACAGATATGAAAAAAATGAGGCAGAGAGATAGATCTAGATGGGCTGATATAAAACCACCTATAAAGTGACATTAAGTATTGAAAACAGGTACTAGAATGAAGAACACCAAAGACACAAGGAAAATATTAGCTCAAGACAAAAGGGCCACATAAACCAGAGACTCCATCAGCCTGAGACCAGAAGTAGATGGTGCCTGGCTACCACCAATGACCGCCCTGACATGGAACACAACAGAGTCCCTGATAGAGCAGGAGAAAAGTAGGGTGCAGAACTCAAATTCTAGTAAAAAGACCAGACTTAATGGTCTGATTGAGACTGGAGGGACCCCGAAAGACATGGCCCCCAGACTCTCTGTTAGCCCAAAACTAAAACCATTCCCAAAGCCAAGTCTTCAAACATTAGACTGGACTATGGGACATAAAATGATACTTGTGAAGAGTGTGTTTCTTAGCTCAAGTAGATACATGAGACTAAATGGGCAGCTCCTGTCCAGAGACGAGATGAGAAGGCAGAAAGGGACCAGAGCTGGTTGAATGGATACAGGAATCCGGGGTGGAAAGGAGGAGTGTGCTGTCACAGCATAGGGAGAGCAACTAGGGTCACATAACAATGTGTGTATAAATTTTTGTATGAGAAACTAACTTGAACTGTAAACTTTCACTTAAAGCACAATAAAAAAGTCAAAAACAAAAGTTAATGTAGCTTTTGTATTTCACCGAAGATTTTCCAGAATCTCTTAAATTATAAAAGCTGTTGAAAATTATAAACAGCAAAAAGAAACCAAAAAAAAAAAAAAACAGGTACTAAATAGTCTGTATATAATAGCAGAATAGTCTGCTCTCATTTGTATAAAAAAATAGAGAGATATAAACATATAAGCTAGACTACTCAGAATATGTCTGGAATAATACACAAAAGTTAACGGTAGTAAGCCCCTGCAGATAGTATGTGAGGGTCTGTGGTAGAAGGGAGATCTCACTGAATACACTTTCTTAGTCTGAATTTTTACAATGGGTATACATTATGTGTTCACTTTTAAAAACCAGCTAAGGAAAAAAAAAAAAGCTAGTTAAGGACTCTTGGAATACTTGGCTCTTGGCACACTCTTCACTGAGAGCCCAGATGCCCTGATGTGAGAGTTCCAGCCATGTGGAGAGTGGGCCATCTCAGATGGCCAGCCCGCTCAAGCCTTCAAATGACTGGCTTCCATCTGACTGGCATCCCTGGGTGGTGCAAACAGTTAACACAACTGGCTGCTAACCAATATGCTGGAGGTTCAAGTCCACCCAGGACTGCCTCAGAAGAAAGGCCTGGTGATCTACATCTGAAAAACAGCCATTGAAAACCCTATGGAGCACAGTTCTCTGACATACATGGGGTCACCCATGAGTCACAATCAACTCAATGGCAATTAGTTTTTTTTGGAAGTTAGAACTGCCCAGTTAAACCCAGGCAGTCTACAGAACCGTGAGAGAAAATAATAGTTGTTCTAAGCCAGGGGTGGTGGTGGCGGCGGGGGGGACTAGCTAAGTATTCTTATTTTAAAATGGTAACTTGATCAGGTGTATTTATTTCTATTCCCTCCTGGTATTCCATTAAAATAACATTTTAAAAAATTAAGGCAAAACTCCATAAGAACAAAGAGAATTGAAGAAATTCTGGATACCAGAAGACAACTGTCAGCAAACTTTCGAAGCTGGAGAGCAGATGGATGACTTAGCAGACCTGAGAAATCACAACTAGAGATATTTTCTAGAGAACAGAAAAGGCTCAGTGGACTGAATGGATGAGGCCTGGGTTTCTAAACTGGATATAAAGAGTGTAGCAATAATAAGGGCGACTCCTAGTCAAACCAATCAACTGTGAGAACAGAATAAAGACATATTTAGGTACGTATGAACACAAGACCTTTACCTTCCGGTCACCATTTCATAGGAAACTACTGAAGGTCAAGCTTTAGCAAAATGATGGTAACTGAGAAATTGGAAGATGCGGGATAGAAGAAATGGGAAGTGGGGTGTCTAAATCATGATGACAGGTAGGCTGTAGACCTACAAGCAGCCAGTCCCAACTGAAAAAGGAATGCACAGGGCTACGGGACAGAGGTCTATAGAAAAAGAAAGATTTGATAAACTATCTGATTTGTGTGAACTTTGAAAAAACTACCCGTAGACATGTGACAGATTTGAAGACGAAATTAAGGATACTAACACAGGAAATGACAAATGTGGAAAAAAGAAGGTAAGGCAGTTATTAACTTCAGGAAAAAACAAAAAGTTGTAAAAGAACGGAAATGTAATCAGAGATACTATTTGGCTCTACAGGAAAGAATATTTTAAGTACCCATTTAATTATGTAAACAACGACTATAAAAAACTAAGAAGAGCATAAAGGAGAAGTGAGACAGGTTGTAACAGGATGTCAAAAGATAATATCTCAAATAAATTAAGAAATAAGCATACGCTTAGAAAATGGAAAAATACAAGAAACAGCTCTAAAATCTCTTTGGTATGAGGCTGAGAGGTGGGTGCAAGCGGCTGTTTACATTATAAGTCTTTGAAACTATTTGATTTTTAAAAACTAATGTACATATATTAATGATACAAATGATTTATATTTTTACTTATTCATAATTTTAGTATCAAATAATTATAAGAATAATTACATGAAATAAAGTAAAATCATTGAATTCAATAATAAAAGTCAACATAGACAATTTTCTAGCTAATATAGAAAACTCCCCACTTACGAAGGGGTTCCCTTCCAACGAATACATCATATCTGATGTAATACATCAAAATCTGATGTAAATCGAGTACCTCAATTTGTTTTTTTTTAGTTTTCATTATTATTGGCTTTTATTATCAGTATCTTTATAAATCCAATCTTCCTTTGTCTTTGGGGATTGGTATGAGAATGATGACATCAGCAAATTACATGATGCAACATTGTATGTAGTACATATTACTAAATGATAAGATACACAAAAATAAAAAAACTGGATGGTCTTTAAGTAAGGTTAGTTGTAACTCAAACGTATCATAAGGACTACCTGTATTTATTTCTAAAATTAAAATACGAGAAATGAAATCTTCTTAGTCTAAATAAAAGCTGAGCAAATATTATATTCTTTTCTCCTGTGACAGTCAGGAATCCATCCCAAAGTCTACTTTCACATTTAACAAAATAAATTCAATTTGCAGTTTCTACCAAGAAAAAAATGTCACAGATATGCTTTGATAAACACAGAACTAGAGTTAAGTGTTTTATTCTCCAAGTTCTTGAACATTTTAGTAAAATCTTCTTAGCTGGTATCAGTCAACATTATCTCTCTATAATCACAATCCTTCTAGACTGATGAAAATTTAAAATGGGCTGACTACCTTAAAATGAATAATTTCTTTTGCCCTTGAAAGAATAGAAGTTATTCCAGAAACTATTTTCAGAATTGTACTTTCCTTAGGTATATAAGCAATAATTCACAAAAATGAAGTAATACAGGCATAAAACTGGACTGAATGAAAACCTTAAATGTAAAAAGAGGAAAACCTTTCCGGAAAATGTAGGTCATTCCCAAAAAATTATTATCTGGAAACTTCCACTGTCATTTCAGATTGTGTTTCATTTTCTGGCTTTCTACAGTAAGAAACAAAACAGAGCTCAGGGTCTGATGGGGTCTTTATTAAACTAGAGGCACCAAGATGTACAACATCACAATTACTGAATGAAATGCCAGACTTACTCTGTGTATTTTCAGTTTAATGAGAAATGGAATATGGAATTACCTATACTATATTCAATTTCCCAAACTGTACTGACAGAAGAATTTCTTTATTGAGAAACTCCTAAGGCTACCATGAAGACTATTAAGAGCTAAAGTGAAAACTCAAAATAAATTTCATTTCCACCTTTAAAAGTAAAAATTAACGATAACAGCATATATTTAAATAGTGCCAACCACTGTTCTAAATGCTTTATATACATAACTCCTTTACAAGTCTGTCAGGTAAGTACTATTATTATACTCACTTTACAAAGAAACTGAGGTAGAAAAATTAATAAAATTTACTAAAGTTTCCTCAGCTCCTAAGTCGCGGAGCCAAGATTGGCGTCAGCAATCTGGCTTTTAAGAAGTATGTTTAAAAATCAATTATTAGATGTTTTTTCTTTTATGGTTGGTAAACTTTTATTTACCAATTCCAAAACAGATTGGAAAAGAAATCTGTTAATTCTAACTTTATCCTAAGCATCTAAAATCATGACAACTTGTGGCTCAGCATACTATAAACAAAGTTGTATGTTTAATAAACCATGTCAAGGAAAAATAACTAACCCAATTAATTCTATACAAAAACTCTATTTCCTAGAGACTATATGTATTGAGAGAGGAGCCCTGGTGATACAGTGGTTAAAGCACTCGGCTGCTAAACAAGAGGTAGGCAGTTCGAACCCATCAGCCGCTCTGTGGGAGAAAGATGTGGCAGTCTGCTTTTGGAAAGATTACAGCCTTAGAAACCCTATGAGGCAGTTCTACTCTGTCCTATAGGGTCACTATGAGTCAGAACTGACTCGATGGCAGTGGGTTTGATACATATATGTATACATGTGTGCACGCACGCGCACACACACACACACACACACACAAATTTCTTTGTAAATTGTAGCTGGCAAATAATCACTTCATATATTTGAAAGTTTCTTTACCTCAATTTGCAAAGAAACTTTCAAATATATGAAGTGATTATTAATCAAGTACTTTTTAAGCACCATCAGGGAGTAATTGCTATTTGAAACCATGACGAAAGAAATGGCTTTATAAATAGAAAAAAAAATTGAAAAGAGAAGTTGGAATAACATGGAACAAATAAAGGCTGTTATAAATTTAAATAATATAAATAAAATAAACATATATTAGCTACATACCAATACAGAATTATTTTCCTTAGCTTACCTGCTAGATACAGGGCAAATGATATAAATCTATGGTAGCGAATGAGGAACTGAAGTTGCTCTTCTCTTTGAACAAATGTAGCAAAATAATCAGCTACCGTCTCTCCATAGAAAAAGTAGTTTACACACAGTAGAAAGTACCTATAATTAAAAAACAGTTTTTTTATCTTCTAAGCTTTTTTTCCCCCTCAACAGATTTCCTACATTTTGATGACCGCACAAAGAAAAACCAAGACCCAGTTCAAAAGACCAGTTTAGGATTTACTCCTCCAAAATGCTATTTTCCTGTTTTAAACCTAATTTCAAACTTATCAGTCTATAGAAACTTAACAAATATAGTTCATGCCTTTAATCAGCTCAAAATCTAGGTAGAGACAGATGATTAGGAAACAATATAGAAAATACTATATAGCATGCTTGTGCAACACACACACACACAAGCTATTAAGTTCGTAATAGATTCATTCCCAACCACTCACAACTCTAATACTTTTTAATAGTAGAGATCCTAAGACAAATTCCCACCTGCCCTAAGGAAGATTAAAAGGGAAGGAAGGGAGAGGTAATTCAACCTCTCTCCCCACTGCCCTGCACAAATGGGCATCTTCTTCCCTCCTCTCAATGCTCCAGATGGACTCCAGTTGAGCAGTGATTCTTAAGGGACACCAGTGGGGGATGGGAGGCGGCAGCCAGTATAAATCTCTAGGAGCAGCTTTTACAAAGTACATAAGTCACCTCCTGTCTCCCGAGTTCTAATATTTCCCCTCCCCAAGTCATGGGGTAACCCACACTGATGGGAGCTTGTGTGGGCCAGAAAACTGCTGAGAAACACTGCCATAGAGTTCCTCCTTGGTTCATCCTTTGAAGGGGAGGGTCCTAACTAGCTAGGACAGTGGAAAGGAAAGGGGTCGTTTCCCACTAGTACTCACTTATGGAATTAGACTCAACTATTCTTGGAGTGGGAGTCCCTAAGTGCTACAAATGGTTAAGCACTCAGCTACTAACAAAAAGGTTGGTGGTTCGAATCCATCCAGAGGCACCTTGGAAGAAAGGCTTGGTGATCTACTTCTGAAAAATCAGCCATGAAAACCCTACGGAGCACAGTTCTACTCTGACACACATGAGGTCACCATGAGTCAGAATCGACTTGACAGGGACTGATATTCCCAGAGTAGAGGGCAAGGATTTTCATTCCCATCAACTGTATTACCATTTTTCTTTTGTCCTGCAATAGAAACCATCTTTGACTCCTCTGTAAGGCTATCGAGACCCTTCTACCTTACCAGTCGAACCCTTTGCCCATTATCCCTCAGAAAATGCCTTCTGCTCATGATATCTCACCATCTGTGGTACATGCACATGTGCCCCACTTCTAAAACCTTATGGGTGCTGCTTCCTCAACCCAGAACACTCCATCTAGCCAAACCCTGTCTTTATTTCAAGTGCCAGCTTGTATCTCACTTCCTCCATGAACCCTTCTAGAATCACTGGAGCCCATTCTCATCTATCTTTTTTTTTTTTTTTTCCTACACTTAGAATCAATCCTGCATGGTCTAGCATTTAATTATTCTCTAATTACTTTATCTACCTAACATGCCACTCATGAAGAAACTTGCTAGAAGGAAAAATCAGCTTACTCTTTATACATCCATTATAATAATTTACTTGCTGTTATTTTTGTTGTTTTAGAAAGATGTCTCTATGGAAAAATAGGATCTAAATGAGGCAATACAATCACCAAAATTAAGAAACTTTTTTTACTATTCTAAATCCCAAAGGTGATACATCTATATTAATAACACTCTGGCTAATACTAATCAAACAAATATATTAAAAGACATGGCCAATTAGGTTAAATGTGAATTAGCATATTATCATGTTTCCTTGTTAAGGTGTTGAGAGCTAAAATTATACCTGAAAAATTTTAAAAAGATATAATCATTTGGTGATTTTTAACTAACTTTACATGCACTAGTATTTATACAATATCTATACAATATTTTCAGCAGTCTCATATCAACTGAGGGGAAATAAAGCAAAAAAAATTATAGATTTGTATTATTTTAGAGAATTAAACTTTATGTTAAAATAATAATTATAAAGGTATAAAGATATGTGTAATATAATATTGAGTTTTTTTAAAAGGACAAGAATGGTACAGACATACGCAATGTAAATTAGATATCTTACAAAGACTGAAAAATGAGATATGAAAATAGTTGTGTTGGAGTAGTAGGGAAAAAGGTAATTTTCTTCTTTTCAAATTTCAATTACATTCTTTTCATTTATCTTTCCCCAAAATCAATCTATAAGCTCAACTAAATGGGTACTGACTGGTCATGATACCTCCTGTACAAACTTTAGAAAAGAATCAGATATCTGAAAAAGTTTGAAGTGACTTACCAGCTTAGTGTTCTAAACCATGGCAGGTCATAAGAACGATAGACTCTATAACCTATAGTGATAATTTCATGGAAGCATTTCACTTGGATGCCCAGAACCTGAAACAAAGATAAAATATCGATAGGTATTTCTTAGTATTTACATTTGTTCTTAAACATTTAACAATGTAGTTGTTGTCACACACACACACGTATATAAATAAACTTACTCTACCTATTTTTAATTATTCTGAATGTCAGTAGTAAAAAATTCAAGTCAAGGTCTCTGCAGTCAAGTGATGTCCCAAAAGGTCAAGCAAAACAATGTTTTACTCAAAAGGTTTGTGAAATCTTTCCTTGAGTGAGGGGTGGCACTGTAGTTTAAAGTTTGAGGGATGGTCTAGTTGGTCACACATGACTAGATTTTATCCATTACTACTACTTCTTTGTTTCTTGAGATTTTCCATTGGTTACCCTAGGAAAATAACTGTACGTGAAAGTTTGCTTTTATAGATTTTTAACCACGTATTCTGGTATACTTGCCAAGCATAAAGATATTGTTAAGACAAACATCTAAAATATCTTCTATCCAGTCACCCAAGAGTTTGAGCATGGTCCTTTCATTCTCCAGCTGCGCCAACTCTCCCATAGCCAGCTACCTCGCTGATGAATGGCAAATTATAAGTGGCCTTCTGTACTTCTGACAACTCTGGCCAGTCAACTGAGTTTATGCAGTTCTGTTTGCAGTGTCCTAAATATATGCCTAGAAAATGGGTTTGTACTTAGGAATCCTCCCTCCCCCCTTTTATTGTTGTTGAAAATATACACAGCAAAATGTACACTAATTCAACAATTTCTACACGTACAATTCAGTGACATTGATTACATTCTTCAAGTTGTGCAACCATTCTTCCCCTCCTGTTCTGAATTGTTCCTCTCCCTTAAAATAAACTCACTGCCCCCTAAGGTTCTTATCTAATCTTTCCAGTTGCTGTTGTCAATTTGATCTCATACAGATAGTTCTTTAAAACATCACAATGCTCAAGACAGACGTTCATTGTTAATTAAGCTAAACTATTGTTTGGTTTAAAGAAAACTTTAGGGGATATTTTTGGTTTAAGGTTTAAAGATTATCTCAGGACAGTAGTTTCAGAAGTTCATACAGCCTCAATGGTTCCAAAAGCCTGGATTCCATGGGAATTTGAAATTCTGTCAGTAATCCCTTTTTGATAGTCTATTTAGCAGTCCTTCCAACTGCTGCAAGGTGAAGGTAATCTCTGAAGATGTAGCATCATATCCAGTGCTTGGCTTTAGTCAATTCCAAGACTCAAGGAGCAAACAGCAAATGGAACACTTACTGCCATGAACTAAGGGGTTAAAATCTTTGTGAATATAACAGACTAACATTTTAAACCTGTAAATACCCAAGGACCTGTTTTTGCACAGCTATTGATCTAAAAATGGATTTTACATTTTATTAAAATATAAAAATATTTTTTTTTAAAAAAAATTAAAAAAAAAAAAAAACAAAGACTATATGACAGAGATACATATAGGCCCTCAAAAGCCTAAAATATTTACTAACAGGTCCTTTACAGAAAATGTTTGCCAAACCCTGGCCAAGGGTATAGTTTGGGATTTTGTTCTTTTTTTTAAATAATATTTTATCGTGCTTAAGGTCAAAGTTTACACAGCAAATTAGGTTCCCATTTAACAATTTCTACACTAATTATTCAGTAATATTGGTTACATTTTTCACAACATGTCATCATTTTTGTTCATTCCATTCTGTTGTACCATTTCCAGTATTCTAGTTTCCCTGCCCCCTGGGATTTCTTTTTAATGACCCAAGATTTCCACAAACTAGCTTTCCCAAGCCTACTACTCAGGATATTCCTTCTTTCCTCCATTATACTGATTACATGGTCAACCAAACACTTTAAAAAAGGTAAATGTGGCCCTTCAGCCACATGATAAAAAATATTACATCAAACTACTATAAATAGTACTTTTAAGAAAAAGTCTTAAATGTGTTATAAAGAGCAAGGGAATTTAAGCATTGTCCTTCAAATAAACTTCATATATAATATCGAAGGCTGTTTTATTTTTTATAGAAATAATCACGGAATGGAAAAATGCTAGATGTTATGATAAAATAGTAAAGCCATGCTATTTGTAGAACCAAACGGGATTTTAAAACATCAAATGCACTGATGTAATTTCTTGAGAAATTTTCTTGAGAACCATTATTAGCACTATGTATTTTACAGAGAGAGGAAGAAAATGTATTTTTAATAGCACACACTAACATTTATACGATTGTCAATTATAGCTTGCAAATAGAATGTGGAACTTCTGGGAAAATTAGACAATGGGGAATCAAAATACTATAGTTAAAAATCCTTCAAGTATATGTATCTATTCCAGGGATGGGTGATTACACAGAAACTAATGCACCATGCCATCAATAATAGCAGGAATGAAAACTGGTAGGACTCTGTTGGCCCAATTAATGTGTTAAGAGCCTTAAAATTCATAAGCAATAACTGAAATGCTGACTGTGTGATAGTAAATGAGGAGACAGAAATAATACAGTGCACCTGTTCTCAGAGAGGTATAGTCTATCAGGGAGAAAACACACAACTACAATACCATGTGGAAATAGTCAAAAGGTTAAATGGTTATGAGTACAGGCAGATAAACCTGCCAGCAGCTCATGGGGTAGAGGAGAAGGATATGCAGAGTCAGGTATGTAGGAGAAGAGGGAACTCCAGGTAGTGCAGAGTTGCTGGAACACAAAGGTAGACGTGAGAAGTGTAGAGAGATGAGGTCATGTGATTACAGGAAACAGCATGAAGAATGCACATAGGAGTTGAAATGACATGATCATATGTGATTGTTAGGGGATAAAAGAGGTGGAAAAACTGGAGGGCCAGCAAAAAGTAGAGAGGGTAAGGCAGGCAAGGTGACACCCTGTGTTGATGAGCATCTAAAGGAGGACAGCGGAAGATGGCTGGAGGACAAGGCATAAGCAATAGTGAGGAGGCAGAACTGACTGAATTTGGTGACTGAAGAAACTAGGGGGCTAAGGGAAAGGAGGGAACACAGAACAACACCAAGGAAGGCTTGGGAAAGTAGATTTATTCAGGATAGGTGGGGGATAGAATATAAGTCCAGATTTGACCATGATAAGTTTGAACTATGATACCTATAGGTCATCCAAGTAAAAGTGTCTATTTCCTTTCACTTTGGGAAATTTAGTCTAAAAAAATAATACAACATGTGAAGAAAGCTTTATGCTCTAATATGTTCAGGATAGTGCTTTTTGCAATAAAGAAAAACCAAAAAATAACCTGAAGTCTAAAAATAACAATGGTTTCAGTAATTTATGATGTACTATATTCTACTGTATAGATGTATCTATTAGAACCAGTGATTATAAAGACCAGGGAGCAAAACAAAATATTTGCTATAGTATTTAGTTTAGAAAGCAGGGTATGCATTTTAGTCACATTATGATTATAACCATGAGTTTTAAAACATAAAAGGACAAAAAGGTTAAAAGGAAATGTATCAAATGGCAGTGTTGTGGATTGAATTGTGTCTCTCAAAGATGTGTTAGACTCCTAACCCCTCTATAACTTTGGCTTCTTTGTTATGTTAATGAGGCCATATCAGTGAGAGAGAAAAAGATAGAAAACAGCAGATTAGGCCCCAAGACAAGCTAGCACAGGCTGGGGAAGACAGAAGTACATGTAGGATCTTGGAGGAACTGAGGAAGGTGGGGGCTACAGAAGCTGAGACAAGGATTTTCTCCCCAGAGCCAAAAGAGAGAGCGCCTTCCCCAAGGACCAGCGCCCTAAATTTGGACTTCTAGCTCCTAAACTGTGAGAGCATAAATTTCTGCTCTTTAAAGCCACACACTTGTGGTGGTTCTGTTACAGCAGTGCTAGGAAACTAAGACAGGCAGTATTAATTGGATTTTACTGGTTACCGATAAGGTCGATGGCAATTTTTAATATCTCTTTTCCAAAATGTTTTAAATATATTTTTACAACTCTCACAGTGGAGAAAAAACTAAACACCCTATTTAGAGTAAATCATATAATGTAAATTAAAACTTATTATTTAAGAGTATCCCAGAAGGTAGGGAGGGGAACTCTTATAACGTCTTTTATATGTTCACATTTGCCTTTAAATCAAAATATGCTTTAATAACTCCATCACTTAGAAAGCGTGATTCCAATCTGTGAAAACAACAATCAAAGTACTATATTTTATTTATTTTAAGGAAAATGAGTATGAATTCCATCTTAAAATAGTAGCTATCATATCCTAGAAATAAGGTTTTAATAAAAATATCTTGAATTAGTCATTTTTGAGTGCTGATATTATAATGCAAATGCAAACTATATTCAATGTGTACTTCTCAAAATATAAATGATCTACTTGGGGATATGAATGTAATTAAGATCTTAAACACATAAAAGCAGTATCGAGTACCAACAGTGTATGTATATATGTATGGTATATACGTATGTGTGTATGTATATATGCATACATATATGTATTTATATATACCTCCAGCTACATTTTCTTAACATAAATATTATATAAATGTAACACATATGTGTATGTATGTTTGTGCATACATATGCAATAAACTTAAATAAGAGCAATAACAGTTCAAACCTACTTTAACTAGATCTTTAATATTTTTATTTCCATCTCTGATTACATTCATCAAAGCAAACAACTTATAACAAAACCATATTTTCCTTTCACAGTAGAAAAATACACACAAAAAAATCCTCAATTACTTTAGGCATGCTATGACTCTCTCAAAAAAAAAAATATCAGAATTCAAATAGGCAAGCATTTCTTTGAAAGTGTTTTGCATTATGGCACCAAAAGAGTGGTTAAAAATAGTCTTCATCCATAAATTCTTGCCCTAGTTATCCCACCACAGAGTTTAGTTGGAGAAAAATGTAACTTATTCACAAGGGAACCCACCAAACAAGCTTTAGTCAGCATATCTTCTAAAAGGGAGCAACAACTCAAATGGTGCCCCATATTTTCAATGCTTTCCAAATAAAATCCAAACTTCTTTATATAGCACGGCAAGGCCCTCCGGATCTGATTCCCAATTGTTTTTCTAGGTTCAAAGGCATCACCTGCCTTGTTCTGAAACACTTACTCCTCTGGACCTTTTGTCACAGTGCTTCCTCCTCCCTGACATTCTTCCAGGTCGAACTCAAAGGGTCCTTTGTCCACAATCCTTGCTGAATTCCGCGCCCTAAGCTCGCTCCCTTCTTCCTCAGGCCTGCCCACTCACGTCACAGCACTGAAAAGTGGTCAGCACACATCCTCTACTTAAACCCTTTCAAAGTCCAATTATTTTCTGTTTTAATTTTTTTTTTAATACCATGTGTTCTCATTAATGGAAGCATGCTGAGTCATGAAGTATGTTTACATTTTTGGTGGTAATATGGATTTTGAGAACTATGATCTGATACTACATGGTTACCACAGAACTTTTAAGATTCTTAAATCCATACTTAGCAGTCGCCCATCTTCACCACCGGACTTTGGTTGCTGATGTTTTTGTGGCGCCTTCCATTAGGTTACATGAGGAACCTCTGGTTTTCCAAATATAACACAAAAAAACAAAACAAAACCCACCAGGGCTCCCTAACTATCACACAGGAAAACATAAATATGCATATAAGGCTTATCTAGGGGTACAAAAGCCAAAAGAGACAAAATTTTGACCCAATCACACTTGCTGCTTGCACTACCTTACTTGCAAGCCTCATACCCTGGGTATTTTGCTTCAACTAATGTTTCTTTCACCTTCACTGTTATGCAAGTACCCACTGTTGCCGTCAGGTACTGAGTCAGATCCGACTCATAGTGACCCTATGTACCACAGAACGAAACACTGCCTGGTCCTGCACCATTCTCACAATCGTTGTTACGCTTGAGCCCACTGATGCAGCCACCGTGTCAATCCAGCTTGTTGAGGGTCTTCCTATTTTTCACCGACCTTCCCCTTTACCAAGTATGATGTCCTTCTCCAGGGGCTGATCCCTCCTGATAATATGTATGTGAGATGAAGTCTTGCCATCCTTGCTTCTAAGGAGCATTCTGGCCATACTTCTTCCAAGACAGATTTGTTCATTCTTTTGGCAGTCCATGCTACATTCAATATTCTTAGCCAACACCACAATTCAAAGGTATTAATTCCTCTTCAGTCTTCCTTATTCATTGTCCAGCTTTCACATGCGTATGATGTGATTGAAAACACCATGGCTTGGGTTTGACGCACCTTAATCTTCAAGGAGACATCTTTGCTTTTTAACACTTTAAGGCGGTCTTTTGTACCCACCAAAAAAACCCATTGCTGTCGAGTCAATTCTGACTCATAGCAACCCTATAGGACAGAGGAGAACTGTCCCATAGGGTTTCCAGGGAGCAGATGTGGATTCGAACTGCTGACCTTTTGGTTAGCTCACTGTAGCTCTTCACCACTGTGCCACCAGGGCTCCTTTGTACCCACTGAAGGGCAGCAAATACCTTCAGTGGTGAAAGTATACTACCAAAGAACCCAAGAGCCAGAAAAAGTGGGTAGTACGCCATGTATACCATGGACCATAGAAGAGTTAAATGTCCAAGTTCCAGTGCAAATGGTGATCATTTCAGCCCCTGGCAGGTTCAGAGACTAAGAAGAGTTGGAGCAGGGGCCCTTTCCTCAAATCATCACCCGCAGATGGCTACCCATGTCTTTCTACCTGGCCTCCAGGCTCTGACCCCATACTAACTTGGTCCTATCCATTATCCATTCTTCCTTTGTAAGAAAAAGCACTTTAAAATGTCAGCAAATGAACAAACCAGAGAAAGTAATTTCTTATTCATTTTTGTTTCCTTGATATCCACAAGGAAATACAAAATTAATGAGAGAATAAACAGAAAAGTGAAACAGGCTTTGTGACGCTTATAAGAACTGCTTTCGGTAGTTTCAGGGATTGATGGAATTTTTTTTTTAATCGTGTCTAATTTCACTTCAAAACCTAATCTTTCATAAAAGAAAGGGAAAATGGTAGCAAATTGCCCATAAGCTTATCAGCTATGAATACGATTGATGGGGGAAGGGAGGTAGGTGAGATGGGTAAATATATCCCTAAAGGTGGGCAAGAGCATTCAGAGAACAGGGAAGTCAACGTACAAGAAAAGGCTAAATTAACTGTGATGGAAAAGAGAATAATAACAAAAGAGAGAGCCAGTGCATACCCTAGAGCAGGCTTGCACCCTTCACACAAAACTATGCTCAACACAGAATAAGTGACAAATTTGTTGAACAAATGTGCTTCTTCTTCTCACTCCCACCACGGTGGGCTTCAAATGTTTTATGCTTCTTTAGACATCAAGGCTTTTGTAAAGAGGAATCCTCTGCCTGTGACAATCCTCCCCCTAACCTCACCTGTTCACCTGACTAACTCAATCTTCAGATCACAACTCATATGCTTGACAGAATGCTTCTGGAAAGTCTCTCAGCTCCCCCTTTGCTCTCATAGCATCCTATTCTTTTTCTCAAATACTTACTGTAGTTTATATACTTGATTGATTCTCTAGTGTGTAGGCAGCAAGCTCCACGAGGGCAAGGAGAGGTATGTCTTTCTCAGTACCACTATATCATACCCCAGAACTAGTGTAGTGCCTAGCACATAGCAGGCATCAGGAAACATTTGTTAAATGAATGAATAAAGAGCTTAAAATACTTGTTTGGCTTCAAAGCTTGCACTTCCTATACACAACAAAAGTCAGTAGGATGACTTCTACCTGTCTCTCCAGTCTTACCCCAGGGCACCCTCCACATGTACAACTAGCCATGGACCACATTCTCTCATTATTTCTATATTTTTCCCATGATGCTCCCACTTACAATGCCTTTCGCTGCTCAGTCCCTTTTTCAGGACTTGGGTTTGGCATCACCTCTCCTGGAAGCCCTTCCTGACTTCTCGCCCAGATTGGATCAGGTGCCTTTTTTTTTGCTGTGTTCTCCTAACAAATGCTATCATAGGAATTACCCCACTTATGTACCATAGTATTTATTCATGTAGTTAATTGTGTGTCTCTGCCACTGGACTGAGTTCCTTGAGGTCAGAGATCCAGCTAATAGTAATTTATGTTGAAGTAGCGTGTGTGTATGTGTGTTTCTGTTGTATCTAATGCATGGCGCAATGTATGACACATAGTAGATATGCATCTATTATGTACATTCGGTATCTGCTGAATGGACAATTTGAATGGCTATTTTCCAAATGGAAAAGATGAGTCCAGATCATTTCATGAACCAGAAGACATTTAAAGGAACTGAATTTGCTGCTACCAACGGCCAAGTCTTGAATTACCTTCTTTTTTGGGACATACTCAAATTACTTCAACCATATATAATGCTGGAAAACAAAGCAAGGGACACTGAGAAAAATTATGAACAGACTTACAAGAAGCATCAGCATAAAGGATCCCATATAGATGATCAGGAAAAACAACGAAATCATAGTTAGAGTAAGAATTCCACGAATCCACCAGTTTTTCCACCTACAAAGAAAATGTTGGTAAAGTTAACATTTAATGTGTTCTTAAAGTTTTTTATGTGCTTTCATTAGTGAGTTGCCAGAATTATGAATTTTCCCTACTATATGAAACCCTATGGGGCAGTTCTACTCTGTCCTATGGGTTGCTGTGAGTCAGAATTGACTTGACAGCAATGGGTTTTTGTGTTTTAGATTTTAAGAATCCTCTATTTTACTTTGCAAAATAACAACCACCAAAAAACAAACAAATAAACAAAAACGAAAATTTATTCACCCACGGAGACCTAATTTTTTAAAACTATGTTAACCAAATAAAGAAAATATTTTTTAAAGCACAGGACAGGAATGAATCATGAGGTAAGGGAGTTAGGTGGTCAATGTGGTTGTGAAAGTCACGCACCCACCGCCTCACACGAAGGGGAAGAACAAGCCAGGTGCAAAGGAGCTGTAAAAAGATAATGGTCATTCTGTTAGGGGGATAGATAATAACAGCGATGATTTTAAGAAAGTTTTACAGACAGTGACCTTCCACTTAAAAAAAGTAAAGGAAGGATAATACTGAACTCACACTGGAGAGCACAGGTACCTGGGATCTAAGAGGTCAGTCACTGAGGAAAAGGCCAGATCTAAGGACACTTCGTTTTATTGCTCAAAGTATGCTGGCTTCCTTCCCTGATTAGTGGCAGAGTGTTCAGTAGGGAAGTACTTATTCTTGGCCTTTGCTTGTTCCTTAGAGCAGAGGTTCTCTGCTGGCATGCTCCACGGGTTCCAGGTATGTTGAGAACTGATCTCCCTCAGCCCTTGGGCCATAAGTAAGGGCCTGGGGTGCTCAAATATCCCCTGCCCAGAAGTCTTACCCTTCACTCCCAGCATGCCATACAAGTATTATCGAATATTATCATTCTTTATGTGGTGATGTCAGAAGAAATGTTGAAGGCCACTGTATGAAAAATCCAAGATGAATGAAATAACTACCTATACACAGATGATGACTACTGAAATCTACAACTTCTCCATGTTTCTATTTACTCTACACTCAATTTTACATTATACTCACATATAAAGTTTCTTCTTCAACACTTTTCTAATTTTCATTAATTCAAAATGATAGCATTTAAATTATGTTAAAGAGATTCTTATCCAACACACAGTAACATGTGCACTGTATTCTAAGCACAGGCCCTCACCCTCTCCCTATAACAGAGCATTATTCATTTATCAAATTTGTCAGATATTTATTACACTCCCAGCTTTCTATCATTTGCCCATAGCGTCTAGATAATAAACAAACTACTCTTTCATCACGTTATTCTTGCACTCAGTAATACAAAATGCTGATAATATTAAGTCCAAACTGTTTCATCTAGCTTCTGAGGATTTTTGTGAGGTGAGCAAATGGTACTTATCTAACTTTATCTCTCATAGGGTCACTATGAGTCAGAATCAACTTGACAGCAATGGGTATGTACTGTCTAACAAACTATGTAGACTTAGAAGTTTCTCATGAGACTGTAATCTTGGTGGTCAAACTAAAATGGAGGTAGAGTCAAAAATGCTATAGCTTAAATGGATCAAAAACCTAAATATAAAACATAAAGCTATAAAGTTTATGGAAGAAAATTCAGAGACAAAGGTAGGGGCCCTAATTTATGGCATAAATAGACTATCAAACATAACTAAAAATGCACAAACAGCAAAACATAAACTAGACAACTGGGACATCCTAAAAATTACATACTTATGCTCATCAAAAGACTTCTCCAAAATAATAAAAAGAGAACCTACAGACTGGGGAAAAATTTTTGGCAATGACATATCTGACAAGGGTCTAATCTGCAAAATTTGTAGAAAAATTCAACAACTAAATGACAAACAATGCAATTAAAAAATGGAAAAAAAATAGGCAAACGACATGACCAGACACTTCACCAAAGAAGACATTCAGGCAGCTAACAGACACATGAAGAGATACTTGTGATCATTAGTCATCAGAGAGATGCAAATCAAACTACAATGAGATACCATGTCACCCGAGCAATAACGGCACTGATCAAAAAAACAGAAAACAACAAATGCTGGTGAGGTTGTAGGTAGATTGGTACTTTTATACACTGCTGGTGAGAATGTAAAATGGCATAACCACTATGGAAAACAGTATGGCATTTCCTTAAAAAGCTAGAAATAGAAATACCATAGATCCAGCAATCCCGCTCCTGGACATATACCCTAAAGAAGTAAGAGCCACGACATGAATAGACATATGCACACCTATGTTCACTGCAGCATTATTCACAATAGCAAAAAGGTGGAAGCAACTTATGTGGCCATCAACAGATGAATGGATAAACTGTGGTACATACACACAACAGAATACTATGCAATGACAAAGAATAATGATGAACCGGTGAAACATCTCACAATATGGATGAATCTGGAGCACATTATGCTGACTGAAATAAAAGAACAAATACTGTATAAGACCACTACTATAAAATGTCAAGAAAAGGTTTGCACATAGAAAGAAACATTCTTTGATGATTACCAGGGGTAGGACGGGGAGGGAGGAGAATCACTAACTAGATAATAGACACATGTTAAATCTGGTCAAGGCAAAGGCAATATACAATATGGAGAAAGTCAGCACAACCTGACCAAAGCAATGGAAGATACTGAGGGTTACACAAGAAATAAGTGCAACTACAGTAAATACTGTAATCTATACAATCCTGCAATAACAGTAATATCAAACAAAAAACTGTGAATAGAGACATAGCTAGATATATATGCTAAATAAGTATAGGATGTCATATACCTGCATGCATATATACATATGGTTATGGATATTTCTGCATATATACTTGTATGTGCTACATGTATACTCATACATATAACAGAGCATATAAGGGGCACAGTTATGGAACTTCTTAGACATAACCAAACACCTCGTGGGACTCAGTTACTGGGACCATAGTCTTGGGGGACATCTAGGATGACTGGCAGTAACACAGTTCATAAAGATAATGTTCTACATCCTAGTTTAGTGAGTAGCATCTGAGGTCTTAAAAGCTTGTGAGTGGCTAAGACACAACTATTGGTCTCTTAACGTCTGAAGCAAAGGATAGTGAAGAAAACCAAAGACTCAAGGAAGCAATTAGTCCAAAGGACTAATGGGCCACATGAACCACAGTCTCCTCCAGCCTGAGACCAAAAGAACTAATGGTACTCGGTTACTACTACAGATTGCTCTGACCGGGATGACAACAGAACGCGCTCTCGTTAAGAGTGGGAGAATACCATTTTCAATAGCCCCTAAAAAGATAAAATACTTAGGAATAAATCTGACCAGGGATGTAAAAGACCTTTACAAAGAAAATTATAAAACACT